TATTTTCATCAAAAATGTAATACCTTTACGAACAATCGAAAGTCGGGAATTGATATTTTTAAGATTCCTGACGGAGCACGACCCTTTAAGACATTCTCGGTGAATCGATCGCGGACAATTCGATAAAATCCCGTCGCTGCGACGGAACGAACGCTCGCCCGTTTTCCGTATAAGAACGGAGAGCAGCGTTTCGAAGAAAAATAAAGACCTCCGATCGGCGAATCGTAGACTATCACGAGCGAATTAATTACCGTCGTTTCTCGACGACCCCGTTCTCCGCAGCCCGTGATTTTCGACGTTACGAAGCGACTCCCGATTTCGTACGCCCCGTTTCGACCGCTCGCGCAGCAGAATCTGTTTGTATCGCAAGCCTGACGTTTCAAAGTGGAAACTCTGCGGAAATTCCGGTTGAATTGCTTTCAACCCGGGGGAGAATGAATCCGCTTGGATAAAGCGTCGTTGGCCCGGCAGGAACCTAAATTGCCACTTTAACCTCGGCTCCGATATACACACCTGCTAAACTTATTATTATGTTATCCGGCGATATCCGGTCGAAAGCTAACGGGCCAGTCGATTTCTATCGGTTCTACGGATTAGGTTCGATTGGAACGTGTTTCGGACGAAATTCTCTTCTTTGTTCTCTAAAATTCGCCAACGATAAGAGTCGACAAACGAACAGGGTGAGCTTTTCTCCTGAAAGAAATACATATTTTAATTGCCTCCAATAATAAGAAAACGTTGAATTTAACCCGGGCTCGCGATCGGTTGTAACAATTTACCCACTTCCCATATTTAATTAATAACTTGGATATTACTTGACCCGCGACAAAACAATAATTTACGCGTAATCGTTTTCTAAAATGAAAGTGTTGCGACCGAAGTTTGCTCGCAAATCGATTGGCCTGCCTTAACCTTTTAGGTACGACTGAATTCTGCGCGAGGCTATTTCTCTGGAAAGTGGCGGGTTCCTCGGGCCATTTGAAGCAACTTTTTCCTTTACAAAAATGTTCTCCGAGGTACCGTTAACGAGTAATGAACGAAAAACAGTGACCAATGAGAGGCGGGCTCGGCTGGCGCGAGGCGATCGAGCCAATGAGCGGAACTGGGCTTCGCGCGCTGGTTGGCTGGACCGCCTCGCGCCAGCCGTACTCGATTCTTATTGGTCACTGTTTTTCGTTAATAACTCGTTAACGGTGCCTCGGAGAACATTTTTGTAAAGGAAGAAGTTGCTTCAAATGATCCGAGGAACCCGCCACTTCCGGATTGCGAGACATTTTTGGGACATCCTGTAGACTGTTGTAAATCGATGCGAATACAAAAGAAGTGTGAAACAATGCATACGAAGACGATTATTTGGTTCGAACGATGAGCGAGTGAGCTACTAGAGCAAGCCACTATAGTGGCGCGTCGTGCCTAAAAGGTTAAAATTGAACAGAAATTTCCCAAGCGACGCGAGAGCGGTCACGTAGGACGGATTACCGATCGAGTCTACATGGAAAACGCGTCGGTATCGTTGATCGGTATTCGACTTGGCGTCGATCATCGCGCGGGTTGCTACAGCTAGGCGAGCATAGGCGCGTTAAGAGGCACGTCCCTAGTCGGCATTACAATTAACGATGGTGCTCCTATGTATGCGAATCGTTCGGAATAGCAATCGATAGTCCAGCACCTGTCAAGAATGCTCATGGTCACCCTCGCGATCGTCATCGTCCACTCATGGGATTCTCTCTTCGAGTTCGACGGTCCTTCCCTTTTCCGAATCCGACGTCGCGAAACGGTCGACCGCTTATTTGCATTTAATGGCTTTCACTGGTTCGGGAATTAAAATTAGACACCGCACCAACGCCGCGAAAGCGACATTGAAACAACATTAACGCGTCGGTCGTTCGAACCCCAAGATTTAGAGTGTTGCTCGAGTTTTCGCGTAATATGAAATAGAATCGATGGAAAAAATAAAATGTAGAATAAATACGAAAATATTACGAAAATATTGATATTCGCGGAACGTGTACGATACGTGAAGACCATGGTAAATTTGTTAAAGACGAGCCTGTCCCCTTGTATCGTCCATGATCGATTAAGAACCGAAACAAATATAAATTATTAACGAGGAAACATAAAGTACGCGCGTTTTTAAACGAGATCTTATTATGCCGCTCTTTGGAAAATAAATATTAGAACACGATAGAATTATTATTCCATCGATTTCGTGCGTACAGGTTATTACAAATGTTCGATTAAATTTTCACGAATTAGCTACTGTCGAACCGGCTTGATCCATGCGATTATATCAGGAAATTAGTTGCGCACTTTCGAGCATGTATAATGCGTAGTTATAATCGTGAAATGATGGCGTTAAGAAGATTTGGTATAGAAAGCGAGCAATTAATATCGAAATACCGTTCGTCGTATATGTGGTTTATCGACTCGCTATTTTGAACAAGTTCAATGCAAAATTGAATTTATCGTAAGCCGTATTAAGCTATTTTGTAAGCTACTTCCATATTGATTTTTCAAGAAACACAATAGTTTCGTAATACTAATAATTTAATACTAATACTAATAATACTAATAATACTAATACTAATAATACTAATAATACTAATACTACTACTACTAATAATAATAATAATAATACTAATACTAATACTAATAATACTAATAATCCTGATACTTTGGCGGCTGTAATATAATATATTATTATTCGAACGCGTTGACGCGACATACTATTTTCAAATGGAAAGTTTACCGTTTATTTACCTTCCAACTCGATGGAATAAAATTCGTAACACGGGGAAACCAGGAAAAATCAAACCGAGCGTAGGTTTTTAAACATTCGAAAAGTTGGTCGAACGATCGCGTGAAATTGGAAGAGGCGAAAGTCGAAAGGAGAACGGGAGGAGGACATAATAAAAATTGCTGCGGGCTCCGGCGTCTTCCAAGAAGATAATATCTTTTCTGTTCGGGCGAAAATAACGCGACGCGGCCGAGGGATGGAAATAGGAACGAAAGCGACTAGGGAGAAAAAGGGAGAAGGAGAGGATCTCGAGACGAGAACTCGATTATGAGCCGTTTTAATTCGGCTTAACCGGAGGCGGAGCGTAACGAGCAAACGGTGGTGCGCGGGCATTCTTCGATGAATCAACGGAATCCGGGAAAGACTATAAATTCGTCGATAAACGATTTTAGATTGCCAATTGGTTCGCTTCGTTGCGGGCCTATCAAATGTAACTTTATTCTCCGACGCGTCTATTACGATACTCCTTCTAATTTTGCTCGTGTTTCATCTTTTACGATCGCCGCATTACGGATGTCTGGGTATTTATAAAACTTGCAACCGTTCGGTGATCGGTAAAAAGAAACACACCGGTTACGCTGAACGAATCGTGTAGCTTTTTTATATCACTTCGAACGTAGTGAAATTATATCGAAATTTAGAACTCGTGCAATACCTAAAAGGATGCGTGTAAAACTGTAGTCGCTTGTAAAATCATTTAATTGGTTTAATCAGTTTTTATCTCAACGTTGCTTAATTAAAGAAGTTGCATTTTTTTAAAGTATAAATTTGAAGAGTAGAACATAGTATATTACGAATCTACATAATACACGTATAAAACGTAACAATATATTCAAGACGATCCAACAATTATATCTGTAAAATTCCAGGGACATTCTAAAAGCGTTAGTTGCCAAAAAGGTCCTGCCTTTGTACGTATATGTTTACATATATGTATTTATACGTATGGTATTACATATGACGCATTTTAAAGGACGAGCTCTCTTATGAATATTTATATCGTCGTTCGATTTGTTCAACCGACGCGAGAAATAATTTTTTATGCTAAGTTACAAGTTGCACGATGAATAATGTATGCTACAATTTAAATCGACCGCATCGCCGAAATCAGGACCGGCAACGCATACGTTCCGACCGATTATTTTTCTACCGGTATCGTAAAAATGTACACGCGCATACAATCTCGTACAACTTCGGAATTGTATCGTCCGTGCAGAATATATTAAACAATTACTTTTCGCAACCTATGCGAAAATCTTTAGTTTTACTCAAAAATATAGTCGAATAATATTATATAATAATAATAAATTAATTAATATTATATTAATATTATATATTATATATTATATTAATAATATTAATTAATATTAATAAATTAATAATAATAACAATATTATATAGTCGAAAAATTTAGTCGAAACTCAAAGATATCATCGATTCTCGCATTTCCGTGTATTAAAATTTATGCGAACGATTCCAAAAAAATTGAGATCATTGTGTTCAATTTTTAAAAAATAATTTCGTTCGAATATTGGGTTGGCAACTAAGTAATTGCTGATTTCAGTTATAGATGTCTCTCGCTCCCATCTTTATGATATCCGTAAATGTTATATTATAAAATTATTATTATTATGTTATTTTTTATTATCCGTAAATGTTAGCAACTGGACAAATTTTTATTTCATTGAACAAATCGGCAATTACTTCGTTACCAACCCAAAAATAAAATAATAAAAATCATTTTACTCGACTGGAATCGCGGTTTAGATCGCTGCGCGTCGCTAACAAAGAACGTTCGAAACCGCGAGCAAGAAGGAGGAGAAGAAGAAGAAGAAGAAGAAGACGACGAAGAAGATAAAGAAGAAGAAGAAGAAAAAGCGGAGGAAGATAGGGTGAAAAGAGAAAGAAATGGGACAGCGCGAGCAGATAGAATCGAAAAAAGGAAAACGGAGACGGGACGGAAAGAGGGTGCGAAAGCGAACGATGAAAGGAGAAAGAGCGCGAGAACCGTACGCGTAGAGAAGCGTGCGCGACGCTTGTATTCAGTTACGTCCGGTGCGTCGCGCCGTCGAGACGCGCTCTTTCGGCCAGAGGTTTCGTCAGCGCGCGCGCGTCCTTGCGATGCGTGTCCACCACGTGCGCATCGCGACGGGCACCTTCGGGACCAGGACCAAAGCCCGACCACGGATCGTTGTCGTCCGCTCGGGAACCAGCGTTGTCCGGCAACCGGGATCGACGGAGCGCCGGATCGATCGATCGGACGGATCGAGCGAATCGCGTTGACGAGAACCAATCGGAGATCTTTGCGCGGCGAGACGAGACAACGAGGAGGAACGTTCGAGCTCTCGATCGATCCGGCAGCGATCGCGTAGGAAAGACGCGGACATCCGTGTTCCAGGCATCCTCGCCGCGAAATCGAATAATCGGATAAAATATCGAGTGGGAGATCTTACGGAGGGACCAAAGTCGGCCCGCGCGATCTTCTTAAAATAGTGCGCGAGTTGCTTCCACTTCGATCTCTTCTTCTTGTTTCGAATCACCGGAGCTCGGACGACCGATCTCGCTCGACGATTTCGTCGCCCGCGAATAAACTGTATTCGGTCGGAGTTCTCGAAGTTCGCGAAGTTCACCAGGGAGCACCGAGGAAGATCGGAGACTCGTGGACGCGATGAGAACGGTTCTACGATTTTCGGCCGAGTCGTCGCGAGAAAGGATCGCCTGGCGCAGAAGCGTCGCATCGTTATCCAGTTTCGGAGCTCGTCGCCGTGTTTCCGTCGTAACGTTGTTCGTCGCGTGACTCTTCGTCGAAAGAGCAACCGTCCACCTAGCAATCTCCTCGATCGCGCTCCGCCCCCTTTCCCGAAGAAAGAGGACCACGAGTACGCATCGAGATCGCTTCGTCGAAAGTCAACGCTGTTGACCCCAACTTCCATCTCGTTCGCGCGTTCTCGACGCGCGTCCGATGCACCGTCGATGCGCTTCCGAGTACGCCGAGCTAAAAGGAACGCGACGACGCGTCTCGCGGGAACACGTGCATCGTGGATAACAAGATCGTTCCGGTAATAAAGCGGAGAACGCGAGCGATCGCGGTCGAATCGGACGTCTCCGCGCGTTCGAGATCGGCGAGCAAATACGGACCTTCGAATGCTCCGGGAAATCCGACGCTCGGATAAGAGGTTCTCCTAGCTGCTTCGGCTCCGTCGAGGAGCACGTCCCGGTAATTACCGGTATCGAAAATCGATCGGACGAAAATCGCCGTGGGACACGGAAGAAGACCGACGACGCGACGATTCGTTCGTCTCGAATCGCGACTCGTTGTTTCTCGGCGAATCGAAGGATCGAACGCGGAACTCTCTGTTCCGCCCCGGCGATTATCCACGAATTCGGACCGCGGCTGAACGGCCGATTTGGTCGTTCGGTTGGCAAATCGCTCCGAACATCCAGTTGATCCTCGATAAATCGTGCGCCGCGAGCCTCGATCCGGCAGGATCCACGCGGACGACGAATGTCGAGTGTAATTACGCCACTGGTTCTGTGCGAGCCTGCGCCGAGATCGTGCTCTCCAGGCTCTATTCGACGCGATAATTAGTGATTCCGCCGTGAAGCCGCAGTGTTGTGCTTGAATCGATGCGATTCGGATGACGTTAACGGCTGCTAGGCTGGACGTCATGGCGTGCATCAGGGCACCGAGGTCCGTCTGCGAATCGAGCGACGACGTCAAGGCCGATTCGACTCGCAACGTCGTACAGGTACGGCCGCCCCCCCGCTCGTCGACGCGTACAGGTATTCCCATCGAGTCGCATGGGGTTTTGGACTCGCGAAACCCTCCCGGAGGCATTACCGTGCACCGATTCTTCGAGATAGACTCGAACTGCCGTCGATCATATCGACGCTGTACAGAGGGTGCTCGACCGTACAGGGTGTTCCACGTTCGGTGGTAGTTTTGAAAATATTAACCCTCAGCACTCCGAACCATTCTGGACGTTGGCTACCAGCTACTCGGCGCCACTTTTTGACAGAAACGGGCATTTACAGACCCTCGTATTATTTAGTATGCTTTTCGAACTAACTAACATATTATAATGATATCGGACTTGTATGAATTGGCTGAAATCGAGAAATTTGCAAAAAATCAATATTTTATTTTTTATAATTTTGTTTTGTTGATGTAATCGCTATCTGTGCCATTCTATGCATGATCGCCATTCGGATGCTCCGGGTCGTAATAAAATTAATGCGCGCGAAGAATTGCTCGTTTGGCCGCCGATTCGAAACCTTTCGAAGGCGCGTGGGCGCGTGCCACCGGCGCGTTCCTTTATCCCGTGGGACCCGCGAGTATCCCAGAAGCCATAGAAAGCTATGGATACGGAGCGTCTTTGACGAGAAGGGAACGCGAAGAAAAAAGTGGTTAATATTGTTAACGGAACTGTAAAATTTTATGATAAAAATCTAACACAGTCTATAAATCAACGACCATGATGAAAGCAAAATGTGACGGTAAACGCGTGAAATTTAATACCTTCTCCATTTCGAGTGGCAAATTATTAATCATCGTGCACGAATTTATTAATTTGAACAACGATGGCAAGACTTCGACGATCCCATGAAAATTGCAGATCGTTTACACGCTCGATCCCAGAGTATTTTCAACGTTTTTTTACCAGATGTAACGTGTCGTACTCCGGACATACGCGAGTCGTTCGTGATAATTTATCGCGAACGTAAAATTTAAAAAAAGCCCCAAAGTCGAAATGCGAACCACGTGTGCAGTCCGCGATTCGAATATCGTATCGTATTATCTTTTATTTCGAACTTATCGAATTAGAACTTCCACGAGATTCGCTTCTTCGGACATGGAATAAGGCGGCACCGTTATTATTAATTTAATTTAGCGAAATTACCGAGATTAGCATTTATGACGAGCAACGAATTTTATTATTATTATAATATTATTATAATTATTCGAATAAAATATTATATTATTAATAATATAAATATAAATATTAATATAATATAAACATTATTCGAATAAAACGAATTCGTTCGGACGATTATCTTAGGTAGATATTTATTCGAAACGACTCGAACAACGTAGAATCCTGCTGGTATAAATTTTGAGGCAGCTTGAACGAGATAAAAAATGACTGGAATTTTGTCACGGTCGATCGTTCGACGGTCGACGCGTTAACGAAAAGCGTAATAATGGACAACGCGTCGAGGTTACCCGGTGCCGGACAATATTTACGTTATTTTTATATCCGCCGAGGCAACGGCGAACATTATAATCCGCCGCGATGACCCGAAATTATGAAGGAAGTTCATTGTGCTTTTCTCTTTGCCGCACTCAAAAATAGTACCGGTGTGCCTTGACTGGTACGCGATCTACGCGTGTGCGTAGCCGCGTGCGTGCACGCGCGAGTCACACGCGCGGCTCCGCTCGTGCACGTACAGGCTCGAAAGGAACGAACGCATACGCGGCCGGAGCCGTTGGATGAATCGCCTATGTAAATATACGCGTGTCTCCCCGTGGAATACGAATAAGCGTGTACAGCGGTCGTGGTCGTGTGGTCGCGGTCGCGCATCCTCGTAGGAAAACGCGCAAACTGGGAAACGCCGCGGAGACGGCGGTGTTGTCCGCTCGTTTGCTCGGCTCCGAGAGAAAAGGGCAGGCGTGCGCGCGGAGGCGGACACCGGCACGCCGAGACTAACTTTTCTACGGAACGACGTTAATTCTCGTCTGTACTTTCCGTTCGCGCGACAAGTTTCTCTCGCGCAAAGGGTGTACGCCTTCGGTAATTGTACGAAAATGGCGTTCGTCTTGCGCGCGGCTCCGTTTGGTCGTCGATGCGTGGGCAGTCTTTTCGCGAGAACAACCAGCAATCGTTGCTAATAGAAACGTATTCGTCGCTCTTATATTCTTCTTCTTATATTCTTCTTATATTCTGTATTTTCTGGGTTCCTATAGCCACTATGAAATTCTTGTAGAGCTTCGTTTATTTAAAAAACTGAGGGTGATGGAGCAATTCGGTTTTCGGATTCTTGTTCGGGGAGTGAAGCTCTACAAGAATTTCATAGTGGCTATAGGAACTCAAAAATCGTGTCGGACAGTGTTATTAGTCGCGTGTCCTCGTTCATTCCGGCTTTCTATGTTAGCTGGCTGTCAAGCATTACGAAAAGAAATTACATTTTATCGTAATCGTTGCATAAGTATCCCATAAACGCGTCTTCGCGATTTAAATGATCGCGAATTTAAAGATATGGAACAAAATGGTCGCAGGATGACGTAAACTTAGCGTTAACGATTACGGTCGGAACGTTCTTTTTCGTAAAATGTCGTCGAGTAAGTTCGAAAACGACGAGATACCAAATGTTAAAGACTAAATTCGGCTCTGGCGCGTATTCTTAGCGACAGAAAGGAACGGTCGGGGTTCTCCTTTTTCAAAGTTGCCGATGCACATTTACGATTCGGTGCGCGCGGTGACTAATTGTAAATTGTTTTCTCTATCGACGCGATCACCCCGGCGGCGACCTATCGTTTGTCCGGTTGCTCGATTCTTCGTTCTTTTCTCCCGTTGGCCGATCCGTGCCGACGGCTATCGTGCCTTCCGAAGTCGGACGCGGACCTCTCGAGATCCGACGCGCGAAACATATTGGCGCTCGGCCAAAACAATAAACTCGGATCTGTCCCGCGACGAGCCGGACTCGTCTTTTTTGCAACTCGCCGCTCCTATTTCGCGGGAAAAGAAACGTCCATCGGCGGCCGGCACCTGCCGTTCTTTCGTGCTTCGGAGGAGATTTCGTTGTTGCCGAAGGAGCGACGCGACCGCGTCTTCCGGTCGCTGGCAAAGCGAGCCTTCGAGAGAGCCCGAGAAAAGGCGCCGCTCGAAGGAAGTCTTAATTGACTGCCTCCTGCTTTTTCAACGCGTGCCCTTCGTTAAGTCGGTGAAATAATAGACGGATATATATATACATATATATACAGGGTGGGGCATTTTAAACAGGTTACCTGAATAACTCGCTTGTTTTTCAAGATAGGAGAAAATGCATTAGATCGAACTTACTTGGTATCGGGGGGCTCATATATATATAATTTGATATTACCAATTTTTCTGTAGGTGGAGGCGTCGAGGAGATACGAAGGTCAATTCTGTTTTTTTAAATGGAACAGTAAGTTTTTTTACTTACATTCTGATAGAGCGTTTCGAGGCGAATACAATGAACTATTAATAACAAGCGAGTTATTCAGGTGACCTGTTTGAAATGCCCCACCCTGTATATGGAAAAGTAAAAATACATACCTCTTCTGGCTATTATGCTCCGCTAAATGGAACTGGTACAATTTCGGTAGACCGTCTTCGGTCTCTCGGCTTACGACCGACACCGTTGAAGTCGTTGTTCATTTTTTTTAATGTAAAATAACGTCTAAAATTGTTATTAACGATTACGATTTAATCTTCGCGATAAATAAAGGAATTACGATTCGACGTTCGCCGGCTGAATAATTCCGCGAAACCCAGCCGAGCAAATCTTAAGTAAACACCGGTCAATTCGATCGTCAGGTATTCACGGACGTTGCGCACCTGCGGCTCGAACAAATCCATCATCGTAAAGCATCGGCGTGCGAGTAGAAGGATAAACAAAATGTGCACAGCTTATAAATTGGATTTCGTACGCGCGGCACGGTTAACGAACGTCTACGAAAGTGTGCCGACGCGATTACGATAGGCGCGAGGTTCTTTCTCGGTGTGAACCGCCGTACGGATGCAGGTTGTAAACGTGGACGAAAACGTTGCGCTCTTCTGTAAACGATAACAAAGAAAGAAGACCGAATCGACGTCTCGCGAATAAACATTTGTTTTCGGTATTCGAAGATGGACACGGCGAAACCTCGATTATCCGGACTAAGCGGAGTAGCACGAATGTTCGGACGATGGAACAGTCGATCGGTTACACCGCGAGACTACATCTTTGTTAACGCTGATAGTAAATACTTTTATAGGTTGAAAATGATGCAATTGTTATTGTTGGTACATGTAATACTTACGCACTAGGCGGTTTTAGAAAGATACTTGACGAATATTTTACGCTGAAACTTTTCAGTTTTCGAATTAACACAGTAATACTAACTGGCATGTACCGCTTCGCAAAAGTGAGAAGACCGAATTTATTTAGAATTTGTAAAGTTTTTATTATAAAGCTTGCTCCAATAATATAACTTATTCAAGCGTTTTCCACGAAAGAGTCTCGGAACTTTGCAGAATTGCAAAATAAGAAAGCGGTCGCTTTGACCGCGGTAGGTTTAGCGTTAAACGATGTTCCTTGTAAGCAAATATTAGTAATCTGTGCAGATGCTTACGAACACATATTTTTTCTTTTTTTTTGCAGATCTATACGGATTGGGCGAATTACTATCTCGAGAGAGGTGGGTGCAAGAGAAGAGTGACGGATCTTCAATCGGATCTGTGCGACGGTGTGCTTTTGGCTGATTTGGTGGAAGCAGTCAGTAAGTATACTCTAGATTCTTCTTTTTATAAAATTTCTATTGTTTTTTTCGCGAGGATACCGAGAACCAAAAAGAACTGTACGAATCGCCTATTGTGCACCGACGCCATATATCAAAGCGAACGAAAGATGCGTTAATAGTCCAGAAGCAAATAACAGTACCCCGCTCGATGGTCGAATCGTTTATGGTCCCGAACAGTTACCCGTAACACCTAAATCGACGGTAATGTCGTTGGTGCATGGGGCACCGTGGTCACGCGTTGCACGTGTGCGCAATATGCGATGAGCATTGATAAACTCGCGACTCGCCCGTTATCGAACGAAGGGACGCCGTTGCATTAATTATCGAACGTTTGTCGTTGCAGCGAACCAGAAAGTGATCGACGTCAACCGAAAGCCGAAAACCGCTCAACAAATGGTAAGCCTTTCGACGTATTCGCGAATTCTTTGATATCGGAGACGCCTAGAGTACGGTCAGTCGCTAAAACATCGTCTAAAACGGAATCAATGTTCTAGACAACGAGTGAAAAATTCTTCCGAAAGTGTATAAAAAACCACAATGCCTTTAACATCTCGAATAAATTCTCGTGTCGATCGGTTAAATTTTTCAAAAAAGTTATTCTGTTTTATTTTGTTTTTTAAAGATGTACGAATACTTTTTCGAAGACGCTCTATGGCTGCTGGATCGATTATCGATTAGGTCGCGAGAAAGACGAATTAATCGCGTATTTCAAAAGTTTCTACGCTCGAACGAAATAATAATTAGCAATGCCAACCGTTCAAATTCATCATTCTTTATCAACACACCGTTGAAAGTAATCGCGGAACTCCGAATGAAATAATTGCAGCGATTATCGAGCTCGCACGATTCTTCTCGAGAGGAGCACGTTGCACGCCGCGTCGGTACGGCACGTAAGCCTAAAAAAGTTTCGATCGCCCCAGTTTCCGCTATCTTAAAGGAGGAGGATCAGAGATATTTCCAGAGTTTCCGTAGTCGTTTGGGACACGTTATATCCCTTCCGGGGAAAATTGCTTTGAATAATCGACGGCAGCTGCTCGAGATCGAAACCGTCGCAAGGTTAAACTCGATAATTGTCCCGCTTCGATCGTCGTCGTCGACCCTTTAAAGCGGTATTAACGCTTGTCGTCGCAGCGTTACCATTTAACGGGCCGAATCGTTTCGATGCGACAAATAATCGAAAGGACGATAAAGCAACATAATATCGATCGAAGTTATTAAAAATAATTGTACAGAATTGTGCGATCTTTCTTCGCGTCCGTAAAAGGAACGTTCGCTAGAGTATCTCCAGGTATTCTAGATCCAGAGAGAGAGTATCTAGATGTTCACGGTGCATTCTCGATTCTGCCGCTTTTCGATACTAATCTCGAAGTCGTAACGGAAGACCCGAGGAAAGGGATGAGTAACCTTGGAAGACGAGACAGAGAGAACGAACGAATATTTTACGGATTCCGACTGCATCTCGGTGAAAACGAGCCGCGTCACATCCGGATAGATCGACGAAGTCGAGTTACACTTTGCGAGATAACGCCTCTTCGTGTTCCCTATTTACATAATCCCGATTGAACGCGGCGCGGATCGAAGATGACCCGAGATAGCATTTATAATGCTAAGTAGGAACTATGCGCCCCGAAAGGTTATTTCTAATCGGATTTTCGCGAGTGTATCGCGATTCGAAGGATCGTCGAACGAAGGACCTCCTCCTCGGCCGAACATATTGTGCCTAGAAATAATATTAAATTATTGTAACGTTCGAACATTCGACGACTAGAAAGTATTGGGTTGGCAACTAAGTAATTGCCGATTTGTTCAACGAAATAAAAAACTTTTTTACTTGGAACGAAGTTTAATCTGTAATGTATGTTCCATTTTGTTCGATGACCTTTTGCCGTCTCGCTGACAACTTGAAAATTCCACGCTCGTAAAAAGTCCGATCCTTTTCGGCCAGAAACTGAGTTAAGCGAGATTTTACAGCGTCGTCGTCATTAAAAGTTTTACCACGAAGGGAGTTGTCCAGGGATCGAAATAAGCGGTAATCCGATGGCGCGAGATCAGGGCTATATGGTGGGTGTAACATCGATTCCCAAGCAATATCCATGAATTTTTGCCGAGTGGACAAAGACGCGTGCGGCCTAGCATTGTCCTGCTGGAAAATGACACCTTTAGGATTGACCAATTCTGGTCGCTTTTCCTTGACCGCTGCATTCAATTTGTCCGGTTGCTAACATTCGCGGATAATAAAAAATAACATAATAATAATAATAATAATTTTGTAATATAACATTTACGGATATCATAAAAATGGGAGTGAAAGACATCTATAACTGAAATCAGCAATTACTTAGTTGCCAACCCAATATTTGTTGCGTCGAAAAGGACAATCTTAGACAATACGTTGATACGTTATATTATAAGAAAATAATTTTGTTACTGCATAAAACTGTTTCTATTCGAATATCGTTTAAAGGATGCGATTGTAAAGGCTCGAAAAAGTGAAAAATATTCACAGACTTCACCCTCGAGGTTCCGCATTAAGAAACTAGTTTCGGACGTGTAATTCGCGTTCCTTAATATCCTCCTTCGGAACTATTATAATAAGTCTTTGCTACGAATATAAAGCTTCCGAAAGATATCCGCCGACAGACAGGTATATCATTTAACTCTGCGACGACCTACTAAACTCGTGGAAAACTTCTCCCGAGCACTTTCGAACGAACCTGCTCCGAGTAGTCTCTCTCTAAAACTTTTCCAATATTCGCGATGACGCGAAGTCTAGCTTGAAAACTTGTAAATATACGTTGTCTCGAAACGAATTCCGCATCGGATTAACTTAAATTCGAGGGAGTACCATCGCATTTATGACGTACTCGGGATTTATTTGATCCAGTCTCTAATCGTAGATGGAGTAAAATGGTGTCGACCGTTCCAATAAATAATTGTCCGCGCTAATAATAACGCGAGATGCTTTAGTTTCAGAAAACAGGGTTAAATGTAACATCTCTGTCATTCGAATAATTATCCTCAGAATTCTATGTCTCACAGGTCGTTTCATTCGAAACTAGTTGGGACTCTCGCCAGCTCGTGCTCCTAAACCGAACCTTAATTCGTACAGTACCTGCTTCTCGTACACCGTAACGAGGTCAACTCGCTGGGATCGGCAAATTGTATCGAAAAATATACCAGCATCGATGCATCGACCGGCGAATCTACATTTAATAGGTGCAGTTCGATTTTCAGCCGAATGCCCCCCTCCCCCTCTCCTTCTCCCTTAACGGAATACGTAACCACGGTTACCGAAATTGTCACGAATCCGTAAGTATACGATTGAATTTGATCGCGTCGCTAATGGAGCGCGCGGTTCGACCGAAACTTCCGAAAGAACCTTTCGCCGGGAAGTTTTGCCCGTTAGCCGTCCCTACCCTCGGTTACAAGAAACGAGCGTGGTTCACCGTCGACGTCGGCTTTCCAATTTCGCGGTGTCGAGGGTAGACGAAGGGAAGGAGAAGGGCTCCGGTCTATAATTAACGCAACGCGGTTTGCGCCTGTGCCTCGCCGTTTAACCGGCTGCACGTAGACGCACCCGTACGTAATCGCGGCGAACTCGCGCGAGCTCCGGCGCGGTAAAGCGCGAAACCCGAATCGCGTGTTTTCCTTCGAGACTCGGCCGCGAAACGCGCGACTCGCACCTCTCTGTTTGCGATTCGTGCGCGCTTCTGCGACACGTTTAACTCGTAAACCGGGGGGAATCGCGTTTCCAACCGTCTTCCACGATTAAACAGGAAACTGCCGATCGCTTCGAGGACGCGAAGTACGCGCGATTTTATCGGCGACCATAACTTGGTTATACTTGGACCGCGGATCTTCGCGCAAATTCTCTTTTCTCGTCGCGATCGTTTCGTGGGAATCCGAAGAAGAGACGCCCTCGATCGGATCAATCTTTCACGCTTTTATTTATTGCAATTGATCGGTAAAAATGGCATGCGTGGAAACAAAATGTTTCCTTCCTCTTCGATGCGAATGCCACAAGACATGTACGCGCGTATGCATCGGTTACATGCAACGTGGTAATCGTATTTTACACGTGTTTCTGTCGGAACATCGATGCTATGCAAAAATTTATAGGTATCGCCGTCCACCTGTGACACGTACTTTAATGAATTTTGACGTAGTGATACTCACTCATATACATACATACTCACCGATATCCCTTAGGACATCACCGGCAATATCCAGGACCGATCGCGAATAATTAAACATTTCTGTTTTCAGTGAAACACAGAATTATTTAAATAACATAATTTTTATCGATACGATTGTTGTATCGATGTTGCAAAAATATGGAAATTTTATGCGAAATAAATAAAGATCCGCTTAATATTGTTAGTATTGATATTTTTAGTATTAATATCTCGTATCAATATTTAGTATCCGTATTTAAAATTTGTCTCGAGCGAATCTACATTTATTTGCGCGCAAAATTTCCATATTTTTGTAACATCGATGCAATAACCGCATCGATAAAAATAATATAATTTAAATAATTCTGTGCTCGACTAAATGCGTCGTAACGATCATCCGCTGCACGATAACAAAGAAGAGAAATGCTACGTGAAACGTGCTGTTACACCATAAAAATATGACGAAACCTATATCTCATGCCCTAAAGTCGATTTCCGAGTTATACCGATGAAAAAAAGAAAACGCAGGTTATTTTCGCCGGTACCTAATACGATAGAAACGTTGCTTCGATATCGCGAAGGTTTATGCCGGTGATTGTTTAGCGATCGGTGCGTTAAAAGAGTCTAATCGACTGAACCGGAACTGGTCGTCGGCTTTAAATCTCTGACCGTTCGAGCCGGTCCATCGCGATCTATTTCTATTTCACGGAGAGAGTCCGCTCCCGTGAGAGTGACTCACACGGTGTATACGTTATTAGTCAACCGACCCAGGAGCCAACGAGTTCATGGTAATCAATTATTAATAAAAGTAAAGCTTCGAACGGAAACGCGGTCCGTTTATATTTATCCGTTAAAAGGCAATTTCGGGGAGAAAAAGCTCGATTTTGCTGCTTCAACACGCGCGACGTTGCTGCGTTTTTACACGCGGCTCGTTGGCGGACACGATTCCGTAATAAAGGACGTCGATTCGCTCTTTAATCCCGAGAAGCCGTTTCAATTTGTGCGCCACGGGGTTCGAAGAAAGTTCCGTTCGGTTTTATCGCGTTTATATATCTCTCGGTTCCCTTCGATATTATCGAATACAACAATCGGCGATCGTACGAATATATTTTGTACCGCGAACGAGCGTTTTATATTTTCAAGTATTTTTATTAACACGTTGAATGCCACGCCGGTTTCACAGAAATTGTCCGTGGCGCCACGATGAATTTTCTTTTATGC